ACTTTTATGGATCGAATTGAATTATTATCACTGAATTATCATTATTTTGTATTTAAAAATTTTGAATATTTAAAAATTATTTTAACAAAAAAAAGGACTTATTGATAAATTGTTAATCTAAAATTGATACAATAATTTGATAATTGATATGATTATTATTATTTATAAATAATATTAATTTATTATTTTTATCAACAATAATAATCTGATATAATTGATATAATTTGTTTAAATATAATCACGAACAATTAGTTATAGAACAATATTCTGACTGCTAGCTCTGACGTTACGCGAAAAGAGAGATATATGTCATAAGCCAATGCTTGGGCCTCTCTATCGTTTGTTTGATCGTGCCTCTCTATTGGTTGTTGCGCGCTCTCGCTTGCACTCACAGGCTCAGGCGGAACGCTCAGGAGGAACACAAAAGCGGAACGGTCTGTCGGAACGCGACATTTTTTCGTGAGCGCTGTCGGTGTTCATCAATTTATAAGACGTTATCACGTCAAAAACCAATTGTTTCTTAACTACTCGCCTTGAATCTTAATTTTGAATAGTATAAAATAAGTCGATTTTTCTTAAACTAAATCTGGAAATAGCACCTGAAATTTTTACATAATAGTAAATCTATAATATAAAATTGATGATTGAAATAAAGTTAGTTTAGTATCGAAATTATATCGATACTAACCGAAAAAGTGGCCCTTGATTCCTTATTTGTGCAGGATTAATGCGCGCATGTCTGCGCGCAATTTGAATTCCTAAACTTTATTTAAACTTGTATAATCTTACAAAATTGTTCAACTTTAAATTTAATTGTAATTTACATTTTTTTTCCGTGGATATTAAATACTACGTTATTGTTGCCGCTAGACTCTCCTTAAGTTATTATGAATTACTAAGCACAAAGGTGGTGTTAACATTAAATATAAAGTAAAAAAATTTTTATTTTATTACACGCTTCATAAGCGAAGCGGATGAGGTAGTGCTCTACTCTCGCCTTACAAAAATCAAGTGATTTTTTGAACTAAAATTGTATCTATTTATTTTCTATCGCACTTGTAGAATAATATTTACACACACAGAAAGAAAAATTTCTTGACTGGAGAACAAAATTCTTGGCTCAAGAAAATTTTCGGGTGCCTGAAGGAAGACCGAAGTTGTGTTGGCCGAAGTAAAAATTTTTCTTGAAATTCTATTCTTGGTGGAAGTCATTTTTTCTTAATTCAAATTATCATAAATACTTGATGTAATAAATTTTTATATGTGATCAAGATTTTTTGATACTTTAGGGAAACCGCGCCACCTACTTCAACTGCGAAAAAAATTTTCTCACCTTGAGAAAATTTTTCTCTTGAATATTTGATACCCATTTTATATTATTTTAGCGTGCAATTATACATATTGAATGAAAAAAAATAATTCAATATTATTTGATTTTTCCATTTGACGTGTTAATCAATAAAAATATTAATGAAAATTTACTTCTATCTTTATCTTTAATTTTTTGGAGCAAGAGAGAAATTTTCTCAAGACAAGAAAATTTACTTCTATCAAGAACTAAATTTTTTGGAACAAGAGGCTGAATTTTCTCAAAACAAGAAGATTTTCTTGACTTAAATAAATTTTGTTGGATCAAGAAACGTATTTCTTAAAGCAAGAGAATTAATTTAGTTGGAATAATTGAAATTACTTGTGTCAAAAAAAAAATTTTTTTTTCGCTCAAGAAAATAATTAGAAAGAAAAATATTTTCTTGGCTCAAGTGAACCTTTTTTTCTGTGCATAAATGTCATGGAAAAACACTAGTATCAATACTTATAACATTTTTAAAAGACATTTTGCTTTTTAAGTAAATAAAAAAAAAGTTTAAAAAAATTATTCCGTGGACGTCCGATGTATGTCTGATGTATGTATGAAAACTGGCGTGGTCACGATAACTGCCGAAAAACTTAACTGATCAAATCGATTTTTTTTTAATACTCTTCAGTATTATCCAAAACTAAGTCCTTTCGAAGATCACGGTCTAATTCAAAGTAGTTTAATTATAATTAGCAATAAACTAAAATCTACTTATCGTTTGTATATCTATATCTATGTAAATAAGGTTCGTTTACAACACATGCGCAGTAACTTTCTTTTCTGGGGGTCATCTGAGTGATCCGAACGGAAATGTAGCCAATGTAATAATTGTAAAGAAATTCAAAAAGAAACTTGCTCTCTAACAAGTTATATACATTTAATACTTCATACATAACACTTAATGTATGTCAAATAATAGTAAATTCTATATAATAAAATACACACATTAAAACATTTAGATATTATATTTATGAAAAAAATTAAAGTGTAACCCATGAAACATTACAAAAGAACGACAATTGATCTGTCTTCTAAGTCTTCTAAGTCATAAGTAAGAAATTAGTTGTCGGTAAGGTAAATTTTTTTAGGTAACTGGCGGTGGAGGAAATTTAAATTATATAATCTAAATTCAAACACAACCTTTTTATTCTAAATAAGAATAATTCTTCTTGAAAATATTTATTGTTTTTATTTATTAAAATATATAAATATTGATTACTAAAATAAAACAAAAAATCGCTTATTTAATGGGAAATTATTTATTTTTCTTTATAAAGTAATTTTTTGTTAATTATATAAAATATTAAAATCAAACAGTTTTTTATTTTTTTCAACTTAAACTATTATTTATTTATAAACTTTCTCAAAATTTATCGATATTAAAAAAACAAAAACATCTTTTTTTTTTTAATTTTCTAATATTTTTGAACTTACTAATTATATATGATATTCCTATATTTTTTTAACTTTAATCTAAATTTAAACGAATTATATTTAAATGAATAATTTTTTCTTCTTATGTTATTCTAATTACATAGATATAAAAAATAATTGTTTGTTTTATAATATTCACATGACAAGAACGTAATTATTGATAAATGTTAAGAAGGTGTATAAATAAATAATAGTTTAAACTGAAACAAGTTAAAGAACAGTTTGTTTTTAATAGAATTAAAATAGAATTGTTTTATAGAATTAAAAAAAAAAAAAATTACTTTATAAAGAAAAATAAATAATTTCCCATTAAATAAGCAATTTTTTGTTTTATTTTAGTAATCAAGGATGACACGCAAAATCGTGAAGCGTTCCACATTTTTTAACAAATATAAATAATGCTGTGAAGCGGGAAAGAATAGAAGTTACGGATAATTATTACGTGAAGCGTAAT